AAAAAAAAAAAGAAAAAAAAAAAAAAGAACAGCCACAGGATCAAAATATTTTGATGTGCTCTGTATGTCTAATATTATTTTTTCATCAACCATTTCATAATTAATATAAAATTATAGAGATTAAAATGAAAAAGTCAGAACCTCAATATACATGCTAACTTCAGTAGCATGAATCAATCCTTCTTAAAAGTCAATTCCTTTTGCATTGTTGTTGTTGGGTTGACTTGTAACTTCTCTGTCATATTATATCAGAGAATAATTTTCTTTAGTTAAAAATGTAGCAACAAATTGTACATACAAAAGAAATAGTTAGTTATATATAATTTCTCAAGCATTGATCGGGTTTTACGCGAGCTAATGACTGACGATCGTGATCAAACTAGCTTGATTTACGGTGGAGCACAACGTTAGGATTCTTAGGTTATCAAGAAAAGTTCGATAAAATTGCTTATTTCTTGAATGCAATACTATCTAGTACTGTGTAATTTATGTGCTTATAGAAACTGACAAGCATGTGTACAAACCCACGCAACAAACAATTCCATCACTTCTTGGGATTTTATAATCGATACTTAATTGTTTATTTGTTACTTAGCCCATGTTTGGTGGCCTTTAATTTGAACAAAAAGTATGTTTTGAATAATATTTTTTTGGAGAATTTGTGGTTAAAAAGTAAGGAAGTGTTTTGATTTACGTGCAGAATATTTATTGCGTGAATGTGATGTTGAAAATTAGTATAATAAAAAATTAAAGTAAATTAAATTAAAGGCCACCAATATATCGACTACGACTTATTTCAACTTCGGATTGATTTGGATGAGTTTTATGAGTCAATTTGATTTCTCTCGAGCTGTTTGTGTCTATATTTATAGCCCTGGCTACATCCTTAGGACTAAAAACTCTGCTTCTCAACACAAGAATAACTACAATTAGATAAAGATGTGGATAACAAAAGGGTGTCTAAAACTGTTAATTTCACTAGTACAAGAACATACATCCTGTCCTACGTACACAACTTGACACAAAAATAGAAACAATAAATAAATAAATAAAAGACCACAGTTAAAAATTATCAGACCCAATTGTTCTTAAGAGCAAATCTTGGAATCTGAAGGAAAGCTCCCCAGCAGTATCCCTTTCAAGCATAATGTTTGGTTCATCACTGCTTCTACTCTCGGTCGAGTCTTCTTCAAGTGGCAATGGAAGAATGTGGTTTTCATTTGGAGAGTGCATAACATTTACCTCTCTTGGTGATGAAGGCGGATTAGTAGACATGGCTCTCGACCTGATGCTGCCTACATTTGCAAAATTTACCGATGTGTCCCATATAAATATGTGCATAAGAATAGGAAACTTGGTGTGGCGGTGCAAAGAGAGTTTCTGGCTGAGGGAAACGGTGTCAAAGCACTGGATTGCCCCTGTCGGAGAAACCATCCAAGGAAGGACTTTTTGATTGGATATTCGGCAGACAACTAGGAGCCGGGATGCTGTATCTGCCTGCTTGTACAGATTGCTGAGTCCTGATCTTGAAGAGGGCGTGTCAGCATCACCTTCAATAACTGATGAAATGTAAATGAATCCCTGTGGATCGGAATTTTTAGACAACAATAAAAATTTAGAATTTGTTGTGCTTTCCACTGTTGTATCTTTAACACATTTTATATGTAAGATTTAAGGTTTCCTACCTCTTCTGTTCTGCTGATGGCAAAACCGAGCTTCGTGTCAGTGTCTTTGATTTTGATTTCTATTGGAATCTCTCTTGCAAGTGGGGAGAACCACATACGAACAGCGCGGACTTCCCCAATATCTACCCCATGGTAATCCTCAAAACCATAAAGGCTTGTGTTTGCAAGATTTGATAAATCAGAGAGTGAACCAGCATTTACAGTAGAAGAAGCTGTGTCTCCAGATATCTGAACCAAAAGAACGATTTATTTATTTATTTTTTTACGAAAATGACAAGATAAAAAAAAAAAAAAGGAAGCAACAGTCTAATTGTGTGTGCATGTGGGTCATTAAGTTTGCAACGGTTGTAAATTGACAGCAGACAATTCTCTAACTGATAAAGCCCTAATCCCACATACGTGAGTGATATTAAGCAAAACAAAATTAGAAACACAGTAAACAGAGTATAGTGGTTCATCCTTAATGCGAGAGCTATATATCCATAGGTTTGTGATTTCATGCCTCCCAGTCTGCCCGTTCGAAAACAACCCTTTAAAAGATCCTTATATATATATATATATACACACACCCTAATACACGTATGAAACACTGTACTCCCAAGCTTAAAATACTAGGTCATCTGCAGTCAATGAGATAAGTTTAAAGTATGATTAGACCCCACATAGTCAAACAAATTTCAACTTACCTTGGTAAGTAGTGATTCAGTCTGGATGTTCATAAAGGAAACAGGGACTCCCGACTCTTGAGAGGCATTAAGCCAGGATTGTGCTCGTGCAAGGGTGTCCTCCAGATCGTTGTAACGGAAAGCAACTTTGTCTGAGGCTTTTGGTAAGAATAAGATAGAATAAAAGCTGCTGGAATTGGGAATAGACAGCATCTCTTGCTTTCTTCTCTCCCATGGATATAAAACATATCCATCTTGAAGAGGAGTTCTCTCTAATGCACTCACCATTCTTGAGGTCCTTGAAGCTGTAGGAAATTAAAAATGTTACACATTAGAGATGTGAACACTGTATATAACGTACTATTGAAAGCTTAAACTATTAGAGATGAGACTGATTCATTTTAAGTGTTGTCTCAATGTACCCCTCACGCGCATGTTGAATTCATTCTTTCGTGAAAGGCGACACACACAATTTTCATAATTGATACTTTTAACTCACGACATTAACTACTCTGGAACCACGTTGAACTACAATTAAAGCTTAACAGTTAAAAGCGAAAGAAATTTATTTAGTAACACTTGTAGCCCACAAATTCAACGATAAAAAAATAGCTCCATATCATTGAAAAACATACTAATTTTATACAGGAAGTATGCTATAGATCAAGCTTCTATTACTAAGCACTGAAGTTAAATTCAAGATAGATAAATAGCCATCTAAAACTAAAAGAAATCGTTGACAGAAAAGATAAAACACATTCAGTTTACCTCATTTCAAGATTCTAGAGGCTCTTGTTACGTGTAGATTTAGGTAAAAAATTGCTAAATTAGCCTTTGTTGAATAACTTAACACTAAAAAGTCGTTTATAATCAAATATCTATGATTTTTTTTCTTTAGTGAATTTGCCTCTAATCACTTATTGATTTTAAATGGGAAAAGACCTAATAGAAAGCAACATCCACCAAAAGAGAAGTAGACTAATCAATTGAATGGATAAATTCATATATATATATATATATATATAATAGATTAAGTGTAAGACATTTCAAAACTAAGAAACTAAGGTTTAAAATTTCTAAACTTAGATTTTTTAAAATTTTATTTATAAACTAATTCATTAAATTTATTAAGGTCACCATTCTATACAATTTGGTCACAAATTATAAATTAATTTTCACGATCACAATAAAAAAATTTATAT